AAAAAACAGCATTTTATTTAAAACTATAAGCATTTTTTTTGTTTTACCTTTTTTGGTACACTCTTAAAATGCATGCACTCTCCAAAGTAAATCATTGTGAAAAAGGAAAGGTGATTTTTTTTTTCTCTCATTCAGCCTTCTAAATTCAAAGTCCATTTGCCACCTTTAAATAATAACTAAAGTGAAATAAAATACAAAAAATTGTTGGTCCTTTACTTTCTTCTTAAAAACTTTTATTCTGTATTGAGACTTAAAAAAACAATTTCAAGATCTCTTTAAAAAGCTCTTTCTCAAAAAAAAAAAAAAATTAACTAATATACATACAAACCATAGGCCAACTTTTCATTTTGAATTTGGTAATTAGTTCTATTGATTGTCCAAAATGTCTCAACATGCTTGAAGTTGTCTGCTGTCTTTTCTTCATTTATCTCTTCCTGCACGAACAGTCTTTTTTATATATTTATTTTTGTATTTGTGCACATTTGTGTCCTGATATTGTGTCTACATGTAATATAGACAAACCAAGTTGGGCAGATTTGGGGATGGAAGCAAAAACCAAAGATGACAAAGGAACAAATCAGGAGCAGATGAAGATAATTGAATCTGCCAGCAACTTGTCCACAAAGGAATTTTAATTCCACACACACACACACACACACACACACACACACACACACTAATGAAAGAAAGAAAGAAAGAAAAAAAGAACTAACAAAGAAAATCATCCTGTGGACTCTATAAAAACTTACCAAGATAATGCTACTGAATTTAAGTGTGGAGAGAAATTAACGACATTTGTTTTTAGTTTTTTATTATTATTTTTTTTTCTTCATTTTTGTTACATTTTTATTTATTTATTTTTGTTTCTCTCAGCATTATTATTGCCAGGAAAGTTCCAAGACTAAAGAATGCATTAAGTTTTAACTTTATGCCCAAGTTTGATGTCTCTTCCAACTCGGAGTTTAGGAGATGAATTGGCCAATGTTAGTTTTTTGATTGGCTGTAAATCTACTGACATTTGAAATTGCCATGATTTACTTGTAACATTGGTAATGTCTGATGGCATCATTCTGATGTCATTTTCATGGGTAGCAACCAAAAATAAATAAATCCCAACAGATCTTGGTTTTATCATAAACCTACCCAAATAAAAGCTGTAAATTACTCCCCCCACCACCCCACTGAAATTTTAATAAAGACAGAAGCTAAATGAGAATGGTATTGAAAGCAAATTTATAGATGGCAATGAAATTACCTTTACTTTTAATTAAATTTATTTAAATACCTATCTACACTAATTATTTCATACATTTTGATATACTGTCTTGGATAACTTACATAATAGACACAATTATTAATTTTTCTTTCATCTATTTCTTTATTTGCAACCAGTGTACACATGCTGTCAAAAATGACAATAATTGTTAGAAAGTTTTAATAGACGTAATAAAACAAAAATCTTGAAACAATGAATTGAGATTTGATAAAGCAGAAGTAAAGAATTCACAGCTAAAATAGAGGCCAAAGAACTGTTTAATTAATCAATTCCCTTTATATGGTATTTATGATTCATTGATTACTCATAGTATTATATAAAATCTCTGGTTAAAAATTTTATGTGTTTAGTATAACAGTGAATAGAAATATGACTCTGAAGAAAAAGATTAGCAATAGAACAGCAAAGATAGCAATGAAAAATCCTATTTCAAGGCCAAGTTGAAGCAAGATGATTACTTAATAGATAAAGGTGCCTCGTATGAAAGTCATGAACAAATAAGACTGCAATTTAAGAAATGTAGGAGTAAAGGAACTGATTAATTAAATGGTTCATTTTGCTCACGAAGTAATTTTGTCTAAATACAGATAAGTATTTTATTTGTACAGATTATTAAAATAACCAAGGGAATTAATCATTTACAAATTTACTAACCTAAGTTGATTTACCTGCCTTGCCACTACAGATGGAACAGGAAATATAAATATACATTGATAATTATTATAGGAATTGATTCATGATGAATAAATTACCGGAATATATCAATAAAAACTAATATAAATAAGGTGAAACAAATAGACAAAAATTAATTATGACTGCTTTTTTCTTTTTTTTTTTTAAAAAGAAATTTGAGCATCAGACACAACATTTAGCTTCAACAAAAAGACGGTGAAAAAAATGAAGATATGGCTATTTCCTAAGCCAACATTTGAACCATGACAACTCTAGAATAGCAAAATTGCCTAGGTATAAGGTATGTCTAAATAAACAAAAGAAAGAAACTTAAAACATTGTACAAATGTTTTGTAGTAGTCAGATTAACATTTCTATTTAAAAAAACCCAAAAAAGTTCTCATCCCATGTCAAATTCATTAGGTTGAGGGGGTGCTAAAAAGTTCTCAGCCCATGTCAAATTCATTAGGTTGAGGGGGTGCTAAAAAGTTCTCAGCCCATGTCAAATTCATTAGGTTGAGGGGGTGCTAAAAAATTCTCAGCCCATGTCAAATTCATTAGGTTGAGGGGTGCTAAAAGTTCTCAGCCCATGTCAAATTCATTAGGTTGAGGGGGTGCTAAAAAGTTCTCAGCCCATGTCAAATTCATTAGCTTGAGGGGGTGCTAAAAAATTCTCAGCCCATGTCAAATTCATTAGGTTGAGGGGGTGCTAAAAAGTTCTCGGCCCATGTCAAATTCATTAGGTTGAGGGGGTGCTAAAAAATTCTCAGCCCATGTCAAATTCATTAGGTTGAGGGTGTGTTAAAAAGTTCTCGGCCCATGTCAAATTCATTAGGTCGAGGGGGTGCTAAAAAATTCTCGGCCCATGTCAAATTCATTAGGTTGAGGGTGTGTTAAAAAGTTCTCAGCCCATGTCAAATTCATTAGGTTGAGGGGGTGCTAAAAAGTTCTCAGCCTAATCCATTTCTCAAAATCTATATGACTATAAAAAAAGACTATATGAATGTATATGAATTTTTAATTTTCTTTTTTATTTTAGAAGTATTTCATGGTCAAGTGGAGAACTTTCAGTATTGAGCTATATTTGCTTGAATGAACTTGTGTGGACTATACCTTTTTATTTTTTTTTATTTACCATAAAATTTATTTGAATAACTTTCAGCACTATGAATGTTGTACATTGAAAATCTGAAAGGAAGACATGGTCAGTGATCAGGAATTAAGGCAAGCATTACTGACAGAATAGAATGATTATATGTATAATTAGTGCCTGTTGTGAAAGAGGAGTTTGTTTAATATTTTTCATTGATGCCACTGTTCAATCCCAGGTAAAAAAAAAAAAAAAAAGTAATGTGATGATTTGATATTTAAGGAAACAGAACCTCTCCCTCTCCTTTGAAAATTGGTGCAACATAATCTTCCTACCCATATTTCCCTTCTTTTGAACTTAGTAAATGCAAATAGTAATAAATTTATTTTAATTTTTATTTAGAAATATTATTTTTAAGTTCTGCTGGTGAAGGATCTTGAAACGAACCATGGAAACATTTCTAATGTTGTACCATGCTTATGGAAAGTATTGTTTAAGCGATATGCAATGTTACATGTAGTGCCAGAATTTCAAATTGGAAAGAACACCCATTAAAGATGATTCCCATTCTAGACAGCATTCCATATGCATGGAGGGTGATTATATTGCAAAAGTATCTACCATGACTCAAGGAAATTGTTGCCTGGCTATATAAAGATTCCAAAGAGATAGGAATCTGTATGAATTTTTGCCACATGATTTTAAAAAATGCAACATGTTGTAAAATTTGTGCTGTATCTACTGATAGATGCATAGAAATGAAATGATGTCACAATCGGTCACAAGCTAGTTAATCCTGCAAATGCAAATTAAAACTTTCTGGAAAATGTCATAGCAAGTGATGACATCTTAATATATGAATATAATGTCAAAACAAAAAGCCAATTGGTAAAATAGTTGAAATAAATATTACTGTGGCTAAAAAAAAAAAAAAACACCTCACATACACTCAAATGTGACAGTGCTGTTGATCATCTTTTGGTTTTAGAAAATCATTGTTTATTGTGGTTTGGTTAAACATGATTTGACAATTAACCTTTACCATGCTGAAAGCAAAAATTGTCACTGTAGAATTTTCTCCCTTCTAGACCCATTATGTCACCTTTAAACGGTTGCTATAAATAAACACTTGTCAACTGTTATTTCCGGTATTTTAAATTGGAAATCGCCTACTGCTGCTTTGGAATGAGACTAAACTTCCATTTTCTGATTCCATTTTGAATTTATTTTAGACTCTACGCAAGATGTAACATTGATTAAATATTTTTTTTTTTTTTTATCAATTTTTTGTAAACAAAAATGGCCGCATCAACATCCAATGAAGCTTAAATTCAGGAGTTTTTCTATGATTTAGACCTTGATGATGATTTTGAAGGCTTTACTCAAGTGGATATTTATAGTGAAGTGGTTGAAGATGATAACTATGCTAGTGACGTGGAAAAAAGCAATGATGACTACTAGATACTGACCAGCTATTATCATCCATGGCTGACTAATTTTATGGAATCTATATGCACAATACAAAGAAAGTTATAACAATTTTAAAACAGTAGTTGTTTGTTTTTGCACCCTCAAAAAAAAAAAAGCAGTGGCAGGGGAAACAATTCTAGAAAGAAATTAATGTGGTAAAGGTTAATAAAGTGGAAGAAAGAAGAGGTTTGAAGCATAGACAATACTTGGCAATACACCTGCTCATAAATCATTCCTTATATAAAAACTTTTGGAAAAGTATAAGATAACTCCTATACTCCAGTGGCCCTATTCTTCAGATTTGGCCCCTTTGGATTATTTTTGCTTCCAAAGCTGAAATCCATTTTCAAAGTTTGTCATCAGACGAGACAGAAGAACATGTGCACCTTCCTCAACCGTGTTGAAGTAAAAGCGCTCAGTATCTACATCAACCATCATTTATTTAGTTAGCATATTAGATGCTGTATATGACACACCTTTTTCTAGTGGCTTGCAACCACATTATGCTGAAACACCAGTTTCCATATGATCACTGAAGTTAAGCAACATCAAGCCTAGTTACTACCTTGATGAGTAACTGCTTGGGAATACCAACTTGGAGGTGTAATGGATTATGTATTGAAATTGTTATTCAGAGAGCCTAGTTCTAATTCCATTTGGGTTCCTTATATTCACTTACATGCAAATACTCTTGGGAAAAGTATGAATCCACCCCTTCTCTCCCAGCAATGGGTTAATTAATGATTAATCATGGTTGTTGTTTTGTTTCTTGTTACATTCATCTCTTTCTAAAAAAAAAGCTTCAATCTTGTCAATGGAGTCTGGTTAGTAGCCTCCCTTAGCAAGTGTTCCTTCCTGAAGGTCATCTCATAAAGAATCCTGAGAAATGCTTATCTGCATTGGTTAATGCATGTTTTTATTTCATGTGGGTGCATCTGAAGCAGTTGGTTTTGGTGCACATTTTAATTTTAATTTTTTTTTGTCGTTTTGTGGATGGCCAAAATAGAGCTACTGGATTATAGTAATCTTATACACAGGATCATTCTAATCTAAAAATATTTTCTGGCTTTAAATAACTTTTTTCTTGCAAAATGCCTGAAAATATCATCCTTCCTTAATATGTCTTCTTCAAGCCAATATTATTATTAGATTATTAATGTCTTATCTCTAGAGAGCCATGTGTTTTTGCAGGATACTTTCTCTCAGACTACGCTAAAAAGGGATAAAAAAAAAAAATGTCTTCAATAATTAATCATATGCTTTACTATATTCGTTATGTATTATTGTTAATATTGTTGATTTAATTAATTTAATCACATATTATCTCCTTGTTTTCTCAACATTTTTAGTGAAACCACTTAAATTCCAGTGTTGTCTGGAATGAAAAACAATAGTACAACTGCTGCTGTCCCCTAAGTTACAGTGGCTTCTATGTACAGTGAACTAAAATAAAACCAAAACAAATGAAACAAAAAAAAAATCTTTGAGTTTGTCATTATTGGCGGCTTTAGCTTGTATCCAAGAATTTAATTTAATTTCTTCTTTGCTGATCACTTCCTTTATGAAGATGGTTCAGGACTAGAAGCTTACAGTTTCACCAAAACCTGCTCCTGTTGTCTGTTCTATTTGGCTTTGCAAGAGTTTGTTGCAGGTGAAAGAAAATCAGTGTAGAAGAAAGTGCCGATGATGTGAATTTGTTTAAATCAACTTGCCAGGAAGTTACCAAGAACACTTGATTTCATGACCTTCCTCTGCGGCACATATGGAATGAGACTTGCAGAATCCAGTTATGAAACTGCAACGTATGACTGCTGACTCTGTTATAATTTCAAGTGTTACCTTCTATAGCATGTCTGCCATACATAGCTCTCTTTATCTGCTTGTTTACTTGTTGAGATCTGTTGTAATCATTATCCGCTTGTTCCACCGTTAATATGACCAGATCTACTGCCTGAATCTACTCTAGTTAGCCTTTTTGAGTATGTATTCAAAGACATTGGCTTCATCTTCTGTTTTGAAAAATTAAATTCTAACAGAAAAATTTGGGACCTTATTGCTCATGGACCCCCTCATGGATGTCAGTTATCAGTTATCTCCTGCTAATTTCCCTCTGAAAGTTCTCCACTGCCTTAACACATGGCACAGTGGATAAAGGCGTTGGTTAGATCCAGTGACTGGACTCAAATTGGAAAGATTGTGAGTTGAATACCTGGTTAAGGCAGTGATGAACTTTCAGAGGGAAATTAGCAGGAGATAACTGATAACTGACATCCGTCAAACGTGGCACGTGGAGCTAGATCAGTCTACCCCAGTGAGCGAAATAAAGGGTTCAGTTCGAAATTCCAACCACCTAAGAAGGCCAGAGCATACAATGGCCGAAACGTTGTGATAAATATGGTGACAAAGATGAGGACAATAGTCCGAATAATGTATCAATTTTGTGTTGGACATTTATATGCCATAGGTATTAAATACCTCCTATTAATCCATCATTGCTTCTTCTTCTTCACTTTCTCCTTCTTCAGTGTGTCTTGTACCTTCAGGATGTTAGCGATCATGGTTCTGTACAATTTCCTGTCCTTAGTAGCTCTTAATAAATTTTGTCTTTTCACTATTCCTCCCACTTCCTGTTTCACCATCCATTTACTCAAGCATTCTAGGGAGCTTATATGTTGTTTTTCTTTGTCCCTCTTGCTTTTGATCTGTCCTGTGAGTATCAGATTTTCCAAGCCCTCTTTCTTCACTATGTGCCCTAGAAAGTTCAACTCACTCTTCTTGATGGTAAGTATAAATGTCCTTTTTGTTTCCATTTTCTCTAAAAATTTGTCATTGCACACGTTTTGTTCATGGTATTCTCAACATCCTTCTGCAGAACCACCTTTCTGTTGCTTCAAGTCTCTTTTTTCTGTTTCATAATACCTTGCTTAGCTTTCGGAAGACAACTTTGGTTATCCCAATGCACATTCAGATTTTAGTTTCACAATTTTCGGTTCTGCTTATCATTCCCAAAATAGGAATAGTTGGAATTAATGGGTTATAGGTAGAAACCTAATTAATACTGGATTTTTATTTTTATTAGTGATACCAGAATTTACACCGACCATTAATAGGTTAAAATATACTTATTAAAAAGAAGAAAAAAAAGAAAGAAAAATGTTTCGGTTGATTTATACAATTGTACAATTCAAATTAGGAATTTGTAATTTTTATAATTTTTACCTATGAATCTTCCTTGAAATTAATGAGGAGTGAGCCATTTAATATATTTTGCTTTTTTAACTTTTTAAATCACAAAATTCGATCTCCATTTCTTCAGAAATGGTTTTTTTTTTATTAAAAATTAAAATAAAAATATCAGCAATTTCAGTAAGTTTTAAACAACTTTCAAAATATGTTTAAGATATCTAGACAGAAATAGATTATGTTTGAAATTTCATATACCAAAGATTAAATACTTGTTATTTAGCCATTTGTAACAGAATAGTAAAAACTATTTTTATCTACTCAGAGATTATTCTAGCCCCAATCAAGAAAACTCTGAAACATTTAACAAATTTTAATAGCATAATTGAGTCAAGAGAATAGGTAATATTACACGATGTGTCTGTTGGTCCATCAGTAAGTCTTATAATGAAAAAAGTATGTTATGAAACAAATATGTTTTTCAGCATAATCTCATGTTTTTTCTTGTTTATGTGTAGTTTCCCTTCAAGATTTCATTGATCATTGCCCTTCACAACTTCCTATTTTTGTAGCCTGAAGCAATTGTTTGTCTTATCCTTTGCTTCTCTTACTTACAATGTCCTTTGAATGTCAAATTCTCCAAGTCTTCTTTCTTCAGTATATGGATCACTTAATTCAGTGGTTAATATTAATTACATAGAACAAACATTATACAATGAAAGTTTCAGATAATAATTGTTATTGATCTACTTGCATATTTTATGTGCTGTCAAATGTTTAATAACAAGAGAAGGCTAAAAAGTTCTCGGCCATACCACAAAGCCCTCTCAAAACAAATTCTGTTGTTTTGTTATTTGGTCAGATTAGGTGAAGAGTGTTGGGCCAAGAATTTTTCAGCACTCAATTGTGAATTTTCCAAATCATTAAAAAGTAGACGTGATTCAGTTTTCTTGAAACTTGTTTAAAACAAATTTAAGAAAAATAAAAAATTTATTTTCTTAAAAAAACCTCCAAAAAACAGTACTTTTTTGTTCATGTCACTGTCTCCAATTGAAATGTTCCCATAAAACTCCAGAATTGTATTGCTCTTGTCCTGGGCAAGAAGGATTTAGCTTTTGTTGATCTTGTTTTATAAGTATATAAAAAAAAAATGGCATAGTTAGAGAATGTCTTGTTCAATTCCATAGCAGTAGTAGGGATAATAATCACAATAATAAATTGCTAGCCTCACTAAGTAAATAAAGTTTAAAAAAAAAAAAGAAGATAGAAAAAGCATGAGAAAGAAAGAAAGAAAGAAAAAGTGACTAGAATTTGTGTTGTTAGCTGAAGCAATACGTTTCCTGTTGTTAGGAAACTTAAGAACCTGGGGATGGCTGTTGTTTTGTTTCTTGTTCCATTCATCTCTTCCTGAAAAAAAACCTTCAGTCTTGCTGTCAATGGAGTCTGGCCAGTTGCCTCCCTTACCAAGTGTTCCTTCCTGAAGGCCATCACATAAAGAATCATGAGAAATGCTTATCTGCATTGGTTAATGCATGTTTTTATTTCATGTGGGTGCATCTGAAGCAGTTGGTGTGGTATGTAGTTTAATTTTAAAATTTTTTTTTATTGTACTTTTTGTGGATGTGTTTTGGTTGAACCCAGGATACAAACTTGTGACAGATGAGTGTTTATCTTGGCTTGAGTTACTTGTTACCAGGGGGGTGTTTTTAATTTTTTCTTCTTGCCAATATGTTTTTGCTCTTTACTTAATTTTCTATAGGGTATACTATTTCCACATGTGTAAGCATGTAAAGATATATCTTATAATAATATTATTAATAATAATAAATATATAACAACTCTGGGCTTCATGCAATTGTCAGGTGCTATTTTATTTTATTAGCATCAGCAGTCGGTGTGCAATTATATATATATTCACTAAAATATGAGCATACATGATGAAAAAAAATACCCAAAACTAAATAAAAATAGTTTTATCATCAAAATTATTGTTAAGAGGAAATTTTTTTTAAATTCCTTTTTAGAACTTTGAAAATTTTGGTTAAAAATCTTGTTTTTATCATATCAACGTGGCACCATAATTTAGTATGGGAAATTTGAGTGTCTTTTGTGTAGAAAAACATATTGATTTGGAAATTCTTAGAAAAAATAATTTTGGGATTTTAAGGAAACTTTCCAGAGTTATTCCTAAATGAATAAATATAAGACCCACAGTTTTTAATGGGAAAATCTTTTAACTGCTTTTATGAATAAAATATACAAAGTCCAGTGGATAATTTGTCATCAAAATTACACAAAAATGAAAATAAAACTGACATCTCATTTTAACAGATATATTTATCAAAATTACACAAAAATATCTTGAAATACTAAAGAGTATATTCATTCAGTAGAATCGCCATTGGTTTCA